TTTCGGCATGAATCTGCGACTCACCCGGAAGCGGGATGTCGACTGTGGCCGGACTCACTTTGCCAACAGGCGCGGGGTTCGACTGAGACGGCGGCAGACAATGGGAAGACATTTTGGCATGACTCGACTTGTTCTCCTCCTGACTTCTCGTCGGCAAGGGAATTTGGTTCACGTTGATGGCATTCTGATGTGGAGCTGCAGTGGCCGGAGCATGTTGATCCTTCTCGGCGTCCTCATGTGGATCGAAAGAGAGCAACTGAGATGTCGGTTTTTCATTTGTTTTCTTGTGATGTGATCTGTCATTTGACTTTTTCTCGTTTTTAATCGCATGTTTATTTTTGTTCTTTTTGTTCTTCTTTCTTTTCTCTTTACGCCTTTTCTTTTTCTCGTTGCGTCCCTTTCCTCTACTCCTCTTCTTTTCGCATAGCCTCGAGTTTGCCCGCTTACGGACGCCACTGTCCTCTTGCGCGCCCCCTTTCGGCTCTTTGAAGTTCGCCTCGGATGAGCCCTCATTTGGATCAACTCTCTCCGGCGGCTCCTTTGACTTGAGTTCGCGAGTCGGCGAGACTTTCGGTTGAACAGTCCGTTTGGCGACATGTTGACCTGCCGGAATCTGAGACTGAACTGGTACGTCTTTACGATAACTGCTTGCACTAGAACTGCTGCTGACTCGACCATGACGGTGTCCACGACTTCGGCTTCTACTTCTACTTCTACTTCGACTTCGACTTCGACTTCGAGTCCGGCTCTTGCGGGCAGACTTTCGTCTACGAAGCCGATGGCGACTCTTTCGGCGACTCCGACGACGCTTGTCGCTACGATAGCTGGAATAGGAGGACAGACTGTTGCAGCTGGTCGAACAACTTCTACTTGAGGCGCTCCGACTACTCCGGCTAGCCGAATGTGATCGAAATGAGCGTGATCTACTGCGCGTTTGACGCCGGGAACTGTTGACACTCGACTTTTCGTCATCCTCCAAATCTGGATAGTAGAAACTCTTGGGACGAGACTTGGCAATAGTGAAAGCCGTGACGACCGGCCTCTTCAAGTTGGACTGAACGGTAGGGCAAAGGGTACGATCGCGCGGTTGGCTGGAAGTTCGTTGCAACTCCTCCCAACCATCATGACCCCAGCGTTTTGTAGGATCAAGCGGTTTTGTCATATTTTGCCACCAGTCTTCTGTTTTGACCGGCTGCTTGGACGCTTCAATTGGCGGCTCTGCATCTTTGGTCAGGGCCTCCTCGAATAGACGCTTCGCTTCATGGCGCATTTCACGTTCAATTTTGTCCAGTGATATTTGACTTTTGCTATTCAAGTCGTGAAGATCCAAATGTTTGGTGAGCAGCTCACGACGACGCTTATGCTCATTTTCTTGCCAGATTTTCCAGTCTCGACGCCTCTCAGAAGACCTTTCACGGCGCAAATTGCGCATAGGATGACGACCAACTTTATTGCCCTTCTCCAGATTCGCCTTGGCATCAACATTCTTTTCAGGTGGCAAAATTCTCTTAGCCTTATCCTTTTCGTCTGTTTTAGAGGCTACCGATTGCCTACGCTCCAAACGCATACGCTTGTGGGCGGAACTCTTACGAGGAGCGTACGAAGAGGGGGAAGAGGAGTAGGATGAGGAGGAGGAAGAAGAAGAAGAGGAACGACTGGAAATGGAGGATCGGTAACGAGAAGAGCCTTTAGAACTGGATTCCCCACGAGAGACGGATCGAGAGTCGTGACGCTCCAGATTTCTGCGATAAGGGCGAGAAGAGGCCGAAGAGAGCACAGAGTCTCGCAGTGAATATGAACGATAATGGGGCTGTGTACCGTTAGTTTGCGGTACTTTGACATCTGATGCTTTCAGATCTACAGGTGGCGGTGAACTGTGACGACTGCAACTGCGACTTGGACTTTTCACACTGACCAGATCCAGATCTTGCTGAGATCCATGAGGAGATGCAGTCGCTTGATGTACAGACTGTCGATCGCTTTCACCAGTCAACAAAAGAGAGGCACTATTCGGGCTGCCCGGACTATAGCGTCTGCTCAGCTGCCTAGAGGACTGTTGTATGTCCTCTTTCCTCTCGTCGTCATATTGGCTTGTTAGCGCAACTGTCGTCGAGTCGGTAATATTCGGTACCGAATGGAGTTGATTGGGAGTCGAGTCAGCGTTGGCAGCCGCCGAACCCGAGGCACTGAGTCGTCGTTGGCGCTTCTTCCGACGAATCGAGGACGTCTGACTGCCTGAACGACTGCGCGAGTGTGAGTGAACTTTATGCTCATGCCGTAAATCACGCCGCAGATCTGACGATCCGGACGAAGATCTTGAGTCTGATCGGCCGCCCATGCATATGCTGGACGAAACGCTGGCGGGCCGGTGGCGAGACCTCGAAGACGACCGATTAGTACGTCGAAGGCGGAGAGAGGCGTCCGAGTGGGGACTGATAAAACCGTGTTCTTTGCGTTTAGAGCCTTTGATTCTGGCTAGCTCTCTCCAGCACTGCGTCTCTTCCTTCAGCTAATCAGAAGGGACAGGCATACATGAACATGAAAGCACACAATAAAATGAAGCATAAGAGTTGGCAGGCTAAGCATAGAGATTATGTTGTAATGACACTAATTAATGCAAGTGTATGTAGTAATTGAGTGAAGTTTCAAATTAACTGGAAAGTATATTTATTTCTTCGAAATTATGGCCAAGATACACAACGCCCTTAGCCTATTTCGCAACTAAAATGTCAATAATAAACATCTACTGCAACTCGAAACCAATAATATTCAACAAGTAAAC